TCTAAAAACCCCTCTCTTCCAATTCCTTGTACTTGGTATGCTCTTCTCACTCCTGGTCCTTTAAATTCTCTCTCTCAGTCAAGTACCAAGCTAAATCTCTTTCTGCCTGAACTTTCCCCCAGTGATTTTAGGCTAAAAATATATTTTTCTAAAATGCTATGGTAATTATAATTTGAATTATTTAGATAAAATGAGATATTCGTGTTTTTTAAATGTTTATTTCATGTGTATAAAAATATAACATATTTCCAAATAGAATTTTAACAGAAATTGTATATCACAAATACTTTGCTTCCTTCTGTACTCCCAACTAGTGGACACTTGATAAATTCATAATTACCTCCCTTAGAAATAAAAAATCCCCAAGATTAAGGCCAATGTTGCTGAGAGTTGACAAGATAACTTCTTACATATATGAATTTAAAACAATGAATTTAGAATGCCTATTTCAAAAAGTGTGCTTTACCAGCAGATTTTGTTTCATTTCTTAAATAAAAATGGAATTGGAGCCGAAACTGGTTTGGCTCAGTGGATAGAGCGTCGGCCTGCGGACTGAAAGGTCCCAGGTTCTATTCCGGTCAAGGGCATGTACCTTGGTTGCAGGCACATCCCCAGTAGGAGATGTGCAGCAGGCAGCTGATCGATGTTTCTCTCTCATCGATGTTTCTAACTCTCTATCTCTCTCCCTTCCTCTCTGTAAAAAAATCAATAAAATATATTTTTTTAAAAAAAGAAAGAAAAAATAATGGAATTGGAAGAAACATAAAACAAAAAGTCTGAAATCTACTGATACAGCTCTTGAGACAATGGAAACTAAGGAGAAAATAAGGGACTACAATCAAAATAAAAAACTTCTGCATAGCAAAAGAAACCATCAACTAAACAACAAGAGGGCCCACTGCATGGGAGAACATATTTGCCAATGTTATATCCGATAAAGGTTTCATCTCCAAAGTTTATAGGGAACTCACACAACTTAACAGAAGGAAGATAAACAATATATCAAAAAATGAACAAAGGATCTAAATAGACACTTTTCGAAAAAGGACAAACAGAAGGCCAAGAGACATATGAAAACATGCTCAAAGTCAGTACTCATCTAAGAGATGCAAATCAAAACAACAATGAGGTACTGTCTCACACCTATCAGAATGGCTATCATCAACAAATCAACAAATGACAAGTCCTGGCGAGGATATGGAGAAAAAAAAACCCTCGTGCACTGCTGGTGGAATGCAGACTGCTGCAGCCACTGTGGAGAACAGTATGGAGTTTCCTCAAAAAATTAAAAATGGAATTCCCATTTGATCCAGTCATCCCACTTCTATAAATATATACCAAGAAATCAGAAACACCAATCAGAAAGGATATATGCACCCCTATGTTCATAGCACCACAATTTACAATAGCTAAGATTTGGAAACAGCCTAAGTGCCCATCAGCAGATGAATGGATTAAAAAACTGTGGTACAGGAAAACCAAGATGGCAACATAGGTAAACACCTGTACTTGCTGCCTCCCACAACCACATCAAAATTACAACTAAAATACTGAACAACTATCATCCAGAACCACAGGAAAGCTGGCTGAGTGGAAGTACTACAACTAGAGAAGTAAAGAAGAAAGCGCATTGAGACTGGTAAGAGGTGTGGAGGCGCAAAACAGGTTGGCACCCAGGTCTGCCGCTTTTTTAATCAGGAGGGAGATACAAGCTCTAGCTTGCTCTGAGCTCCAGTGCCGGGTGAGACTCAGGGGGACCCAGACACATACAGGGAGAAATTGGACTGTCTGGCATTGGGGCAGGAATGGAGGAGCGGCTTTCTTCCAGACAGGGGTACTTGCAACGGTCATTGTTCCTGTGTTGCAAGGCTGACTGGCAGCCATCGCTGTTTGCTCTGCCCTGGAGATTCCCTGATATGCTGCCCTACCCAATTTAAAACCCCACCCAACCTGTGCTCAGTGGCTTTTGCATATGAATGGCCTGTCCTTTCTCAGCCTAAAACCTGTCAAACAAGCTGCAACTGGGTCAGGGAGCCCCAAAGCTATCAAAAGAAGGCCCAAGGCTGCACAAGCAACAGCCTGCCTTCATTCACAGCTGTGCCTCGTCTGGCCACTTCCAAACCCGATACAAAGAGGAGGAATCTGCAGATCTCTCTGTAGCTCCTACAGGGTAGACCCAGGCAATGGATGACTTTGCACCTCCTTGGAGATCCAAGAGCCAGTGTACCCAGTGGTCAGTGCAAGACCATATCAGATTATAACTCTTAAATCCATAAGTGACACACTCAAGGGGGAGACTCAGTGAGCACCAAAACCCCACTGAAACAAGTCCTGCCCCATAAGGATGTCTCCTGAAGAGCAGCTCTCCCACTATAGTAGCAGCTGGTCCTCACAGCCAATTGCCCTGGAGGTCAATTCCTCCCAGTGATACCAACAGCAATCAAGGCTCAACTACAACAAGACTGTGTACACAGTCCACAAAGGGGTGCACCAAGAGTGTCCACCTCAGGTGACTGGGGAGGCTGAGCCACTGGGCCCTATAGGACTCCTACTACACAAGGCCACTCTATCAATAAAGGGAGACTTAACAGCTACCCAATACATAGAAACAAACACAGGGAAGCAGCCAAAATGTGGAGACAAAGAAACATGTCACAAATGAAAGAAATAGGGAAAGCAAAATACTGGATATAGAGTTCAAAACCACAGTTATAAGGTTACTCAAGAATTTTCTAGACACTTCCGAGGAACTTAGTGAAACCTTCAAGGATCTTAGTGAGAATACCAAAAATATGGAAAAGGACCAGTCAGAAATTAAGCATACACTGACTGAAATAAAGAATAATATACAGAGATTCAAAGTAGACTAGAGGATCCCAAGAATCAAGTAAAAGATTTGAAGTATGAGGAAGCAAAAAACACCCAACCAGAAGAGCAAAAAGAAAAAAGAATCCAAAATTATGAAGATAGTGTAAGGAGCCTCTGGGACAACTTCAAGCGTACCAACATCCGAATTATGGGGGTGCCAGAAGAAGAGAAAGAGCAAGATATTGAAAACCTATTTGATGAAATAATGACAGAAAACTTCCCCTACCTGGTGAAAGAAATAGACTTACAAGTCCAGGAACCCCAAGAGAACCGCAAGAGGAATCCAAAGAGGACCACACCAAGACACATCATAATTAAAATGCCAAGGGCAAAAGACAAAGAGAGAATCTTAAAAGCAGCAAGAGAAAAACAGTTAGTTACCTACAAGGGAGTACCCATACAACTGTCAGCTGATTTCTCAACAGAAACTATGCAGGCCAGAAGAGAGTGGCAAGAAATATTCAAAGTGATGAATATCAAGAACCTACAATCAAGATTACTCCACCCAGCAAAGCTATTATTTAGAATTGAAGGTCAGATAAAGAGCTTCACAGACAAGAAAAAGCTAAAGGAGTTCATCACCACAAACCAGTATTATATGAAATGCTGAAGGGTATTCTTTAAGAGGAAGAAGAAGAAAAAGGTAAAGAGAAAAAATTTATGAACAACGAAGTGACAACAAATACATATCTATCAACAAGTGAATCTAAAAATCAAATGAATAAAAAATCTGATGAACAGAATAAACTGGTGAATGTAATAGAATCAGGGGCATGGAAATGGATCAGACTGACAATTCTCTGGGGGTAGGGGGTGTAGGGGGTGGCGGGAAGAGATTGGACAAAGATCTCATATGCATATATGCAGTATCTATGGACACAGACAGTGAGGTGACGAGGGCTTAGGGTGGGGTGGGAACTGGGTGGAGGGGAGCTATGGGGTGAAAAAAGTGGGACATCTGTAATAATCTGAACGATGAAGATTAAAAAACAAAACAAAAAAAATCTGTGGTACACCTATACAATGGAATACTATGCTGCTGTAAAAAAGAAGGAACTCTTACCATTTGCAAAAGCATGGATGGACCTGGAGAGCATTATGCTAATTGAAATAAGCCAGTTGGAGAAAGAAAAATATCACATGATCTCACTCATTTGTGGAATATAATGAACAACATAAAATGATGAACAAAAATAGATCCAAAGACATAGAAGCATCAAAAAGACTGACCAGCCCTAACTGGTTTGGCTCAGTGGATAGAGCGTCGGCCTGCAGACTGAAGGGTCCCAGGTTCGATTCCGGTCAAGGGCATGTACCTGGGTTGCGGGCACATCCCCAGTAGGGGGTGTGGAGGAGGCAGCTGATCAATGTTTCTCTCTCATCGATGTGTCTAACTCTCTATCCCTCTCCCTTCCTCTCTGTGAAAAAAATCAATAAAATATATTTTAAAAAAAATACTGACCAACTTCAGATGGAAGGCAGGTGGTTGGGGCAGGCAGTAAGAGATCAACCAAGGACTTGTATGCATGCATATAAGCATAACCCATGGACACAGACAGTAGGGGGGTGAGGGCATGTGCTGGGGGGTGAGAACAGCTGGGGAGAGGTCAATGGGGGGAAAAGGAGACATATGTAATACTTTAAACATTAAAGAATTTTTTTAAAAAGTCTGAAATCTAAGAAATATACCTACACGTAAAAAGACCACTGTTGCCGAAACCGGTTTGGCTCAGTGGATAGAGCGTCGGCCTGCGGACTGAAAGGTCCCAGGTTCGATTCCGGTCAAGGGCATGTACCTGGGTTGCGGGCACATCCTCAGTGGGAGATGTGCAGGAGGCAGCTGGTCGATGTTTCTCTCTCATCGATGTTTCTAACTCTCTATCTCTCTCCCTTCCTCTCTGTAAAAAATCAATAAAATATAAAAAAAAAAAAGACCACTGTTTATTTTTTCTCTCAGCAATACATTTTCCTCTTCAATAGTTCTTATAAATTGTGTTTATTCCCTTCCAATCTTGTCTTGGCACACTTATCAAAAACAAAATGAAATACCTTTTAAGCACTTAAATTTTGTAAATATTTGATGTTTAGAGCATAAACATTTCTAAATACTCAATCCAGTATTCAGTTCTTACCTGCAGTTTCTGATGTATTTGGAATAATTCATCATATATCTGATTGATCTGATGTGGAAGTAAACTCTGCTTATTTGATGCTTTAGATGTTGAATAACGGACACATTTCAAAGGAGAGTCACTTGCATCACTACAACATTCAGTCCAATTTCTTGAATTTGAGGCCAAATTAGTTGGCCAAGCTACTGCTAAAAAGTAAAAGTTTTAAACTTTATTAATTTAGTTTTAAGTATTCACAGATAATCTTCAGGAAGAACTACTTTAAATATGAATTATAGTATCTTTAAAAATTTCAGGTAATATATATGGAAAGAATGGTACAGCAAAGGTAGTAAAAATGTTACATTTAGAAAATGTGGATGAAGACTATACAGAATTCTCTGTGATCTTTTGGCTACTTTTCAGTTTGAAATTGTTTCAATAATAGATTTTAAAGTGCACAAAAACACTCATCTATTAACTGTTTAGGATAAGAAATGTAGTTACCTCAGAAATTCCTGGTCATATATTAACCACTAACCCAAATATAGTGTTAATCACTGCTTCACTTCTTTTTAAATTTTCCTACTTATATTTTTTTAAAAGGCCTTATTTGCCTTGATAGGCAAGTAGTGTTTTAGGCGCTTATACTGGCTACATATTTTCTCTGCATTAAACATACTTTCATATCATTCCTTTTGAATTTATTCAATTATCTTGTTAAAATAAATCCAATGAATTGGAATTGCTCTCGCTAAGGATACTCAATTTTTATTTAGATAGATAGTTCACATCAACCTGCCTCCCAGTATTTATGCGTTCAAACTGTACAACACTGTCCAAAACTGAAGAATATTAGGTGTCAGTGTCTTTATTCTGCTCATTACAGAGAAATTATTCTTCATCACTGCTCAGCTAAATCATCGTATATGCTTAATGCTTAATCAACACTTGTATTATTTAATTTTATTTTTTCCAGTTTCCTTGCATTGTACTGTCTCTGTTACTGATTTTTAAGAGCTTGTTTATGACTAAAGATGTTAACCATTTCTCATGCATTGTAAATGAAATACCATGTTTTTTCTTACTATTTTATTCTGTTATACTTTTTGATTGTATCAAACTTGTGTATTAAATATAATCATGTTCTGTTTTAAAAAAAATAAGGCTTATTTGGTTTTTGCCTATTTTTAACTTTATACAATGTCTGTAAATATATAATGTAATTATGTAATTTCTATAACCCCCTCCTTTAAATAGCATGTTCTTGTTTTAATGCCAGAATTATCTTGACTGCTTTATCCTATATTTTTATATGCCACATAATGGCTATCAATGTGGCAATAGTGCTCTCAAAAACTTACAGCCAAGAGGGCCTCATCTCTGATTGCCTCTTTCCCTAAAATCCTAACAGAATTATGCAGCCAGACACATAGAGATTAACTACTAATTCAGTGCCTAAGGAAGCCATACCTTAAGTAACCTGGAATATTTTCTAAAAATATTAAAGGATTAGTCAAATACTACTAACAATCTTTTCCTCACTTCCTAACATATACTGACATGAAAAAGAACTAAAGAAATTATACAAAGTATTCATTTGATTAACTTATTTTCATAAGTTTTGAGAGTTTAGGAATACTACTGGAAAAAAACGAAGTTTATTTTTCTTCTTTCCTTATGTAACTATCTCATGGTTTATAAAAATTGAGAACACAGAAATATAGACACCTGAGGACAAGTGTTATCACTATGGTGTAAACTTTATGTGTGCTACTTCACAAAGTTATTATTTAAATGATTATTCCAATAAGAATATTTCTTTTACCTTTTTCTACTTCTTTAAAAGACTGCTTGGTTATTTTGGAGCTATTAACTCTATGATGCTTCTCAATTAACTCTACTTCTGTTTCCCGTTGCTTCAAATTATGAAAAGAATCCAGTTCATCATCTAGGCTTTAAGAAAAATTATGTCAAAGCATTCTAGAAGTTTACTATAGCATTCTAAAAAGATAAAACTGCTTCTCAAATATTAACAGCATCACAATTGAGAAAAATGTAACATGTAAACATTTTTTTAAAAAAATATATTTTATTGATTTTTTACAGAGAGGAAGGGAGAGGGATAGTGAGAAACATCTATGAGAAACATCGATCAGCTGCCTCCTGCACACCCCCTACTGGGGATGTGCCCACAACCAAGGTACATGCCCTTGACCAGAATCGAACCTGGGACCCTTCAGTCCGCAGGTAGATGCTCTAGCCACTGAGCTAAACTGCTTAGGGCACATAAACATTTTTTAAAAGCAAAAAGTAAAATTATAAAAAGTAAGTCATTGATCCTGTAAACTCACTAAAAGTATCTTCCTAAAGATACAAATACTAGAGGCCCAGTGCTAAAAGAATTATTGTTTAACATGAGGAAACTGAACCCTAAATCATTTAAGTAACTGACAGATGATGTAACTAGTAAAAGATGAAAGAGAACTAGACTCCCAAGTGTTCTCACCAAAAAGATGATCTCAAACTTGAACTTTCTCAAAGTTGAAAGTACTGTTCAAAAGAAGTAAAATGCAAGCCACATAAGGTAATTTAAATTTTCTAGTAGCCACATTAAAAACACAAAATGATGTAAAATTCTAACAATATGTTATATTTAATCTAGTATATCTAAAAGAATATCATCTGAACATGTAATCAGTATTTTAAAATTAGGATATTTTACATTTTAGGGCCCATTTTCTTCAATCTGATGTGTATTTTAGACTTCCAACATAACTCAATTCAGAAAAGCCCTATTTCGAGTACTCAGTAGCCACATGCAGCTACTGTGCTGGAAAGTAGTATAATTCTACACTAGGTCATAACTAGGGATTGTGAAAAAACTGTGCAACGTTATAAAACCCTTTATAGTAGAAAAGCATTAAATTATAATTTGAAGTATACCCAGAAGCAAAAAATTATAAAATTACCAGTTAAATATAAGAAAATAATTTCAATGAATTCTTAAATATTTTAAAATAATTTTCACTTTCCTTACTCTCTAGTCCAGCAGTTCTCAACCTGTGGGTCACGACCCCTTTGGCAGTCGAAAGACCCTTTCACAGGGGTCGCATAAGACCATCCTGCATATCAGATATTTACATTACAATTCATAACAGTAGCAACATTACAGTTATGAAGTAGCAATGAAAATAATTTTATGATTGGGTCACAACATGAGGAACTGTATTTAAAGGGCCAGAAGGTTGAGAACAACTGCTCTAGTCAATATACCTCATGTCCAAATCCTGAATCCAGATCAACTGGGCTACTCTGTGAATGATGAGTAATAACAACAATAATGATAATATTTGAATGTTTTTCTATGTGCTGAACACTGTTTTAAGTGATGAACATAGATTAATTCATTGAAGTAGAGAATAAAACAATTATATTAAAAATTTAAGCTACCAAATATCAATTACTTTAATAATATATGGTATTTTAGGCACAATTGTCTTTTTTCCCTCCATAATTATCTCAAAATTTCATTCTGTTTATGTCTTTGTTGTTTAACATTATTTCAAAACTAGAGGCCCGGTGCACAAAAATTTGTGCACTCGGGAGGGTCCGTCAGCCCAACCTATGCCCTCTTGCAGTCTGGGACCCCTTGGGGAATGACCACTTGCTGGCTTAGGCCCGCTCCCCGGGGAATTGGGCCTAAGCTGGCAATGAGACATCCCTCTCGCAGCCCGGGAGCCCTCGGGGGATGACCACTTGCCAGCAGGGAACAGGCCTAGCTGCAGTCGGACATCCTTAGCGCTGCTGAGGAGGCGGGAGAGGCTCCCACCACAACCACTGTGCTGGTAGCCGTCAGCCTGGCTTGTGGCTGAGCAGAGCTCCCCCTGTGGGAGCGCACTGACCACCAGGGGGCAGCTCCTGCATTGAGGATCTGCTCCCTGGTAGTCAGTGTGTGTCATAGTGACCAGTCATTCCCAGTTGCTCTGCTGTTAGGGTCAATTTGCATATTACCCTTTTATTATATAGGATAGAGGCCTGGTGCATGGGTGGGGGCCGGCTGATTTGCCCTGAAGGGTGTCCCAGATCAGGGTGGGGGTCCCGCTGGGGTTCCTGGCCAGCCTGGGTGAGGGGCTGAGGGCCATTTTCAGGCTGGCCACACCCCCTTCAGGGAGGAGGTTCCTGCTCGGATGCGTGGCCAGCCTGAGTGAGTGGCTGATGGCTGTTTGCAGGCTGGCCACAGCCCCTTCAGGGTGGGGGTCCCCCCTGGGGTGCCTGGCCAGCCTGGGTGAGTGGCTGATGGCTGTTTGCAGGCTGGACACAGCCCCTTCAGGGTGGGGGACCCCCGGGGTGCCTGGCCAGCCTGGGTGAGGGGCTGAGGGCCGTTTTCAGGCTGGCCACAGCCCCTTCAGGGTGGGGGTCCCCGCTGGGGTGCCTGACCAGCCCGGGTAAGGGGCTGATGGCTGTTTCCAGGCTGGCCAAGCCCCCCAGTGAGGACCCTCACCCCATGAGGATGTGGCCAGCCTGCGTGACGGGCTGATGGCTGTTTGCAGGCTGGCCACACCGCCAGCCACCCAAGTTCCAAGTGGAGGCTGGCTGGAAGCAGGTACCTGGGATTTATTTAGCTTCTATAATTGAAACTTTGTTGCCTTTTGCGGAGGCAACAGCCAGCGGGAAGCTTGGCTTCCTTCATCACCAGGGCAACCAAGCCTCCTGCTTGCTCCAGCTCCATGGCTGCCGGCCGCCATCTTGGTTGCGTTAATTTGCATATAGTCGCTCTGATTGGCTGGTGGGCATGGCTTGGGGTGTAGCGAAGGTACGGTCAATTAGCATCTTTGTCTTTTATTAGTGTAGATGTTTACCCCTCGATATAAATAGCACTTCCTTCTGCCATATTTTTGGCATTTAATAAGATTGAATTTGGAATTTTATTTCACCTTAGCTTCTACTACTGTTTTGTGTGTGTGTGTGTGTTTAAGTATATTTTTATTGATTTCAGAAAGAGGGACAGAGAGAGAAATAGAAATATCAATGATGAGAGCGAAACAATGATCCACTGCCTTCTGGCCCCTTACTGAGGATCCAGCTTGCAACCCGAGGAATCGAGCTGTTACCTCCTGGTTCATTGGTCGACACTCAAGCATTGAGTCACACTGGCCAGGCAGCTTCCACTGTTTGTATACTTGTTTCACCCAGGGTAAAATCTCCTATACAAAACTACTAACCCAGGGGTGGGCAAACTTTTTGACTCGAGGGCCACAATGGGTTCTTAAACTGGACCGGAGGGCCGGAACAAAAGCATGGATGGAGTGTTTGTGTGAACTAATATAAATTCAAAGTAAACATCATTACATAAAAGGGTACGGTCTTTTTTTTTTTTTAGTTCTATTCATTTCAAACGGGCTGGATCCGGCCCACGGGCCATAGTTTGCCCACGGCTGTACTAACCCCTCACAGCCCAGTTAGCATCTCCCAGACTTCATTCTCTCTCTCTTTCTTTCTCTCTCAGCCTATCTAAAATCCATTGCTTACCACACTACTAGACATACACTACTGTTCAGCAGGCTCCAGACTGCTTATGCTTCCTCTCAGAAAAAAGCAAACACATAAATAATCCATCCTTTGCCTTTTCTCAGTGTTTTTGAGATACTGAAGGGATAGCAACAGTAAGGATACAGGGTACTTTACCAGTTCATACTGAAGTGCTTGGATGAACTATAAAGAGGTATAGTGGAATGCTTTCTATCATCAGAATACCATCTTAATAAGGAATCAACTTTATCTCCCGATGAGTAGACATCCAAGTCATCTATTAAGAAAAAAGAAAACAGCAGAGATTACTTACCTAATTATATTTTTCAAGGCTCCTAAAGATAAGACAGCAAAATTAGTTAAAGGATTTCTTATATCTATGTCTCCTTAATGCAAACTTCTAGAAAATAAACATCAATTCTTACATTTATACTATATCACTTTACTGATTACAAAATGCTTTTTCATCCATTACCTTATTTGATCCTAACACCTCAAAACAAGCAGAATAGGTGCTTTTAATTCTATTTTAATGATTAGAAACCTAAGAATCAGAGAAGTTATGCAAATTTTTCCACATAACACAACCAGCAAATAGAAAGAATAAAATTGAAAATCCAGCCCTCTTTCTAAATACTTATGGTATTTCATCAGTCCTCAACCATGAAACATTTTATTTTCAATTTTATATACTTAAACATTAAGATTTGTTTAATAAACTGTTAGCCTATATCTAAATTCAGTCAAAAAAAGGAAAATAGAGCTTCTCTGATAAGCTATTTAGAATTACTTATAAATTGTATGCACCCTATTTAAAACTCATTTTTACCCCCTCAGAAATTTAATGACCTATACTTTTCAGTTATATTTTGGAAGGATGAAAGTTTTAGGGCAACTTTCAAAATTAAAATTCAATTTTTACAAGATATTTTTAAGATACTGGACTCAGTAATAACTGGAATTTTTTTCATATTGAACAAATGTTTTAGAAGATTGTTACAAAATTTCAAAATGAAATAAGCTTGGAAAAAAGTGAAATTCCTTAATCCACCATCTAATGAACTTTTAAAAATATTAATTACTGTTTCTGCTAAAATCATCTCCAAGTTCAATGATTACACTTACTAAAGACACTACATAAGAAGTATCAAAAAAATAAAAACTCTAATGGTTAATTAGCTATGCATGTTAGTCAGATTACCACATGATGTTCCAACACATCCAATCCCACAGTATAATTAACTTTATTAAATAAATTTATGTGCTTAATTCCTCCAGTGCAATAATTACTCTAATAACTTGGGAAAGCTTGTGTGAAAAAATAGCCATTAGCCTTCTTTACCTAATATACTGTTTAATTTTTAATATAAAAATACTGTAATTGAAACACCAAAAAAATTCAATTTTATTTTTAAAGACATCTTACACATTCACCCCAAATATCATGATTAATATTAGATTATTACCAGACTGAATAAAGCTTAGTGTCACAAGACATCTGGCAATAGTGATTTAAGTCTAAACATTTTTTAAAAGTCTTTTCTCTCAAATTAAATTTGCTAAAATCCCAAATACAGAAAATTCTCTACGGGCTTACCTGGGGAGGTTAGAGATCTTCTCTTAGATTTAGTCTGATCAAAACTTGAAACAGAATACTAAAAAAAGAAAAAAATGATGACATTTAATGTGTATACTAAGAATCAACTTACAGTCTCAAAATAGTTCCCTATAAATTATGTACAAAGGTTAGCCTTTAATTAGACCAGTGGAAAAATCTGGTAGGCACCACCTTAATCAAGTGACCAAAGTTAACATCAATAATGTGACAAAGCAACATCAAGTGTCTCCTGATGAACATAGCAAACCACACACCATTCATGTAACATTCCTGACAAAAATATATAACCAGCATCTAATCTTATCATCAGACAAACCCACAGAGACATTCTAATAAATAATTGTTCTATATTCTTCAAAAATATCAATATTACAAAAGACAAAGCCTTCAGAACCTATTCTAAATTAAAGGCAACAAAAAGAAAAAAAATGCAATGCTTGCTTTAACTGTATCTGCACCAGGAGAAAATATTTGTATACAAACGACATTACTGAGATTATTGATAAAATTTTAATATGAAATACATAATATTGTGCCAATGTCAAGTTTCCTGAATTTATTACTCTACTCTGCTTATACAAGACAATGCCCTTATTTCTAGGAAAACACACTGAAGCATTTATACCTGACAGTAAAGAGTCACGATGTTTGCAAATTATCCTCAAATAGTTCAGGGGGAAATGTCTGTATGGAAAGGGAGTCAAAAAGAGGGAGAGCCCTGGCCCATTTGGCTCAGTGGATAGAGCATCGGACTGAAGGGTCCCGGGTTCCATTCCAGTCTAGGGCGCATGCCAGGGTTGAGGGCTTGATCCCCAGTGGGGGGCGTGCAGGAGGCGGCCCATGGGTGGTTCTCTCTCATCATTGATGTTTCTAGCTCTCCCTCTCCCTTCCTCTCTGAGAGCACTGTAAAGCAAATGTGGCAAAGTTTAATAATGGTGAATACAAGAGAAGGGTAGAAGAGGATTCTGGCAACTTTTTTTTTTTTAAGTTTGAAAGTATTTCAAAATAAGCCTTTTAAAGGAGTTAAATTGTTTTTTGAACTCCATTCAAGTCACTATGAATAAAAGTTCAAAAACACTTTCAACAATGACATACCACGATTTGTAGAACATAAACCTTCAAAAGCATATGGTGAAGGAACTTTTCAGTTTTTCCTGTGTATGTGACTCTGTCCACCTGCCCACCGTTTACCCATCTGCGGTCCAGAACTACTCTCCCCTGTAGCTAACTTTCCTTCCACCTGTTTTCCCCGAGCGGCCCGGGGAGGGCGAGGAGGAAGCGAGAGGTCTTACCTCGGCCGGGCGGCAGCCACCCAGCCCGTAGCGGCTTTTGAGACGCTCCACTGCGAAATCCTGCCCTGGTGGCTTGACGACCCTCGGCTGCATCGTGCTGGGCCACCGTTGTCTCCTCAGGAACAGCGTTCAAATCCGCGGCGGGACGCGCAGGGGCGGAGCTCGCGCCGCGGAAGTGCGTCATGACGCACGAAACGCCCCGCCCCTCATGCGAGGTCTGGGTCCCTGTCACTTTGTTAAAAACGTCCTAGCGTTGCCTTTAGTGACTATTTGCTTCATTAGTGTTATTTGGACTGATAAATGGCGTTTAATCTTTTCAGTCTTTTGCTACTTCGTTTTCTTCCGTCATGTCTACCTAGGTTGCACTTCGCAGGCGTGTCCCCTCACTCCAGCTGCAGCCTCAGAGCTCCAGGGCCAGGAAGGACGTCACTGCCTTGTAACCACTGCATCTCTTGTACAGGCGGGAATGCATGCGGCATCTGTCCAGATACTGGGCTCACCAAGATAGTCCACACCTGACGGGTAGGACCGCACCTTGGTCTGGGGCATATCTGACGTATTTGTGTGCGTTTGGACATAATCAGGGTGGCCTTGCTAACTGTAATATTAAATGAGGGGGTAAATCCAAGAATAAATCGTACTACAAAGTATAGCTATTTCAATAATTACCTCTTCACTTTCCTACTATGGGCCAGTATTTCCTATTCAGAATAACAGGGTATATTAATAAGCAGTTATTAGAATGTAAGCTACATGAGAGCATGCTTTTTTTAAGAAAAGAAAAAAAAAAGAAAAAAAAAAAACTTCCCCCAATGCCCAGAACAGTGCCTGTCACTTAGCAGGTGCTCAGTATTTATATCAACCTAAATCAGAGACTACTTGAGTTGAATAACTAAATAACCACTTAATTTCTTATATAAAAACACTAGCATAACCCTTTACTTTTCTAAATTGTATTCATCAGCATGTCTGGACTAATAATTCCTAGAGTTTCTGGATTATCTTTAAATTTCCTCAAATGCCAAAAACTTTTGTAAGAAGAATATTTTAATAAAGTAGTACCCTGATAATTACTTAAACCAATAATTATTCGGCATACAATATAACTATGGTATAAAAATGAGTTTCTTTATACTCTATCTTTAAACAGAATTTAATGAGCCAATATAAATCAAACCAGTTTAAGAAATACATAACGTGGGTTTATACCACATTAAGAAATAACAGAAGTCACAGGCAAAGTCCTTTGCCTCAAGCCACTTTTAAGCATCTTTGGAACACTAATAGAAAAGTCAATTTACTGGTCATTTTTATCAAACTTTTGGTCAAAATATTAATTCTTAAAGCTTCTTAATTCAAAATTTGAATGCTTTAAGATACCACTGATTTCGTTAAACAAAAATCTCTACACTGCACTTGCCTTTATTTGAATATTATTCCAAAATCACAACAGGCATCAGCTGTCCCAGCTGAAAAATTCACGACTTTATAGCAATTTATACTACATAAGCTCCCCAAAAAGCCAATTTTTATTGAGCATACATGTAGTCCATGGTTCTTTTTAAGGTTGATGTAGTTCAACTGATACACTGGAGTATCAGTTACCTGGTTATATGGCCAAGTAGATTTAGTGATCACTCATTACACAAACCACACACAACATTCCTCTCCTCCTTTAACTAGTGGTTGCGCAGGTACTTATTACAGGACTAGAGGCCCAGTGCACGAATTTGTGCACATTAAAAGGAAATGAATTGGAAACTTAAACAGTAAGTGGCTATTAGACAATATTAAGTATAATAAAATTAGGGAAATGAAAAAAAGGAAATGAGTTAGATGAAATATTTTAATATCGGTATTCGCCCTTTCTCTATAATAGTGTCAACCAAATTCACAACCAACAATGACAGATACAAATACACCGTGCGATTGGCACCAGAGCGAGCTTTATGTAGATAAGCTTGCTTAATTAGACCTGCTTTCTGATTTAGCTAAACTTTTTCCAGCCCAGTGAAGCACCCCAACTTCTTTTTCAGGTAATTGTCAACAACACTGCAGTAAATATCAACAGGAAGCAGATTATTATAGATCACGCAGGGAGAATAAAGGGTGAAATATTTAACTGTAGCAGTGTTTGACTATACTCTGCACAGTGAAAAAACCTGAAGTCATTTTAAGGTCCACCATTTCTTCTTTTCAGTCGGGTCAAGTTTCTAAACTTTCCAAATCTCCATTTTCTGGCTAATGAAAAGAAAATAGGATTCCACTAGGTCTCCTATCTACCTACTCCAGGACTTCTGAGGATCAAATGAGATGAGGTATGCGAAAACACTTCACAGACATTTGGTTAAAGTGTAAAATGTTTGCACCTGGCTATAAAACAAGTCATGTTCCTGGGCTGAAGAAACTCCAAGGAGGCTAGTCGCTAGGGAGAGAAAGCCGGGCATTGCTACATGACATCATTACCAGGTGCCCACAGCCATCATTTCTGGGCTGGGCCAGGCTGTGGGCCACATTTTGCGCCATGTGGTCTTGGCAGCATTGGCTGCGATTTGGTGGGCTGACACTCCAGTGTGGTGGTAGGGCCTGTGTCCCACTTGGGAGAAGCCGAGTGTTGCTTTGTGGGCACCAGGTCCATAGTGCAGTTTCTTTGAAAACAGCCAATGCGCGTCACGGCAGCTCCTGCATTAAGCATCTGCCCCCTGGTGGTAAGTGTGCATAATAGCGACCAGTCTGATGGTCGGAGTGACACTTAGCATATTAGCCTTTTATATAGAGAGAGACTAGAGGCCCGATGCACGAAATTTGTGCACTTGGGATGGGGGAGGCCCCTCAACCCGGCCTGCAACCTATTGCAGTCCAGGAGGCCTCGGGTGATGTCTGACAGCTCCTGCATTGAGCATATGCCCCCTGGTGGTCAGTGCGCAACATAGCGAACTGTCATTCCGCCATTCAGTCGATTTGCATAATAGCCTTTTATTATATAGGATAGCCTATTTCCAAATCCCTAAACAACAGAAAAAACATCAGTCTTTTACTAAATGTGATGATTTCACTGGGAAGAACACAGGAGGGCAGAAGGCAGCCACTATTAGTGATTAGAATGATTGGAATATACCAAATCTTGTGCTCTAATTAGCTTCTTTGTAGTTCTATATTGAGTAGGCTTATGAGAATATCCCTTTTTAGCAGTCTAACTTTTGAAACTAGCCATTTTCCAAATAAATTTTCAGTGTGTATCAAACTTGAAAAAAGTCACTTCCTTGGGGGCTGTGGAAATTATGTGGCATTTTGAGTTTATAGACCTTTAATTGTCCTCCATAATTTGGTTCTAGAATTAACAAACAATTATATGCACAATAAATTTTCTAAATGTCATGGCTGTTAACAATTGTCATTTTATTTTTGCTACAAAATTCACCAGAAAAAGTTACTGCAACAATCTAGTATAAAGCAAATCTTTAACCAAAAACATGGAATAGATCTTTTTAAAATATTCACTTTATCACAATAACTGCAAGGAAAAACTCAAGTTCAACTAGAACAAAGCTGCAGTTTGAGGTAGTAGAAATAGATGACAGAAAAGTTAAAAAAAAAATCTAAGGACATACTCAACTTGTTTCAAATGTAAAAATAAATGTAATACCTTTGAAAGGGCACAGGAAGCTACAAATAATTTTAAGAAAAGGTACTCTACTTAGAAATTCATTAACTATCCAGGAGGTGCAAAGATTATAGAAGAGCACTTTGGTTAAGTCTCTAACCTCTGGGCTCTGCCCATTCATAAGTCTCTATGCATAAATGTGAACACCAATAGTTAAAATTACCAAATATATTTTCAAATCTAAAATAAAAATTACCCCCGTTTTGGTCCCTTTATTCAAACAGTAAATATATCCATGCAGGAAGTCCAGTATCTTAAAAGAAATTAAAATTAAATTGTTTATATAATATTCCTTCAATGAGAAGGTCTATTGCTTTTAACAAGATTAGTATTATTCCACTTTAATACAAATATGTCAGGAGTACATAAACACAAGTACACCTGAAACAAACCAGTGTTTAAATTTTTATTTCACACCATGCAAGGTCAATTGTAACACATTAAAAAGTGACAACAGCTATACGCTGCAATTTTACATTTATACATTAGAAATGTCCATTTTCAAAAGCTGAACATAATTACTATATTGTCATAACAGCTAAGCTTCAAATCAACTGTTTATACAGGTAAAGTTTACTATAAAAAAACAATGACTTTATATCTGTCCACATTCTTTGATACTAATTCTTCGACTAACAGACCCTTTAGGAGAACCAAATGATTCAATCTTTTTCACAGTATCCATGCCATCCTTAACAAACCCAAATACTACATGCTTAAAGTCCAAATGCTCTGCTTTTTTCAATGTTATAAAAAATTGAGAATTATTGGTATCGCGGCCTCGATTAGCCATTGATAGGAAGCCAGGACCAGTATGTTTCACATTAAAATTTTCATCTTCAAATTTATCACCATAAATGGACCGTCCTCCTGTTCCATCATGTTTGGTGATATCTCCACCCTGAAAAAAAATTATTATTAATAGGGATCCTGAGTAAAATATTACAATGCACACAGACTAACTAACCACTACGGATAAGTCCTAATCACCCAGATTGCTAGAAAATGTGGTATGAATACTAAGTAATACCCATTTTTGAAAGAAGACAAAAATGACAAGAGGTCTTTTTCCCACCCTCAATTTATAGCAGGTTTAAAGTTATTAGAAATTTCAACTATTTTAAGCTGAAAATTTTTTGTGGGGGTAGGATATATTGAGATGGTAAGACCAACTAATGTGTGGAAAAGCTAAAGAAGTCTAAGAAAATTATAGGTGAAGAGGGAACACTCAAATTTCCCTATTAGTGTAGTACACTTTTCTAGACTTCAATTGTGATACACAGTCAATACTTACTTGGCAAACGAAATCTGGAATTACTCTGTGAAAAATGGAGTTCTTGAAACCAAAACCCTTCTCTCCAGTGCATAGTGCTCTGAAGTTCTCAGCAGTTTGAGGAACAATGTTTGAAAATAATTCCATGGTTATACGTCCTAGAGGTTCATCATC